TTACAAATATCCGCCTCAATTCAACCTTGAACCTCTCTCATACAATACAATAATACAATACCGTGTGTGTGTGTGTGTGTGTGTGTGTGTGTGTGTGTGTGTGTGTGTGTGTGTGTGTGTGTGTGTGTGTGTGTGTGTGTGTGTGTGTGTGTGTGTGTGTGTGTGTGTGTGTGTGTGTGTGTGGACACTGTGATGGATCGTTTGAGCTATGTGTAACTCAAGGCATATGCTCGAACGGGAGCTGCCTGGAACCTGCAATCATGTTGCGCGCACTATCCGTGCTGACTGTGCTGACTTTTCGTACAATGTCCCACTGTCTGGCTACCTGCATAAAGTCAAGTGCTCGGCGCAGTTGTCGGCGAAATGACGCTCCTCTGTTTTCATTGAAACAGCTCCTTATATCCGTTAGCGCAGCTAGCTAGCACCAGATGCTAACAACAACAATACACGTAAGGTGTGCCCGTTCTCTCTCTCTCGCTCGCCCGCTCGCGCCACACACCCTCCCGGTCCTCCAGATGGCCGGTCGGTGCCTGCCGGTGAGCGTGGAAGTGTGGTCTGCCGCAAGCGGACGGCAGGAGAGNCGCCACACGCCTCCCTTTTAGAATTATTAGATCTCAGTGCTGCGTTTGACACTGTTGACCACAATAGTCCCACCTGGTTTTTTAGTTGGTCTAGTAATATATTGTGGTCAACAGTGTCAAACGCAGCACTGAGATCTAATAATTCTAAAAGGGAGGCGTGTGGCGCAGTGGATAGAGCCTTGGTATGAGGTTCAGATGGTCACAGGTTCAAACCCCACTGCAGTCAGCATGTTCTTGTGTCCCTGGGCAAGACACTTCACCCCAAATCGCTCCTGTAGGGATTGTCCACAGTATTGAGTGTAAGTTGCTTTGGATAATAACAAACACTGAAGTTCTGCCACTATCTGTGTTTAAGTGGATGTCATTGAAGACCTTTACAAGAGCAGTCTCAGTGCTGTGGTTTGGACAAAATCCTGACCTGGAACACATCCAAACAGTTATTTAAACTGTTGAAAAGGAACTTTTTCTTTGATTTTAGGCAGGTTTGATATGGGCTTGTAATTGTTCATTACTGAAGCGTCTAGATTATGCTTTTTTAAGAGCGTAAAAATCATAGGGAAACCAAATATCAAACACTGATACATAGCCAGATAAACAATATTTACATGCCCCCCAATTTAACCTAGATGTATCCTCAAGCTTTGACTACCGAAATAGTTAAATTACCAGTTGCATTTTGCTTTTGTGGTGAATCTGGACTCTTTTTAACCACAAAACCAGCAGTTAAATTGTAATCTTATTAAATTAAAATTTCAATCAAGTGGATTTGCACGTCCTCTGGATAATCCAGGCCTGGCTAATGACATGCAGTGCTCTAAAATGCTTCCTAAAGCTATTCAGGTCTCAAAATTCTAAATTAGCGTTTTCATTCATTCACTCCACTGGGCAGTAACTTTGCATCTGAATGTGTCAGTCAGTCAGTAAAGAGAACCCTCGAATCTTAAAAATGAATAACTGATATCATAAAAATGTCTTTAAATGCTGAATGGGTAGAAAATAATCAGTCGTGTGAATCCACAGATAAAACATAGATGGATAAAGTCTAGAGGTTATGACTGGTTATGGTTATGATTGTATGACCTGACTCTTTCTTCTCCCTATTTATGGCCACTTAGTTTGATCTGAGGATATCTGAGGAAGGATAAGCTTGTTGAAGCTGTTACATAACTATCACATTGTGTTGGTGCTAAATACAACATACAACTATAAAGTCATTTGCCTTATGATTGTTTTATGAAAGTTTACATTTTAGAGATGACCATTCAGCAAATCTCTTTAGTTTATCGAAGTCACAAATAAAAAACAGTCATTCATCCTCCAGAATGGAAATGACTCTTTCTCAAGGACAATACCTCCCTCTGCTGACTAAATAAGAGCAAGCCATTATGTGTCAACTCTTCTGCCATTAATAAAATAACAGTTCAAATCAAATTGAATCTAACAAACTGGGTCATGCATGCTATGTGATCCATCCCTCTGTGTCCTTGCAGTACTTTCCGGTTCAGTTCCACAAGGGTGAGCACGGCTTTGACAACCAAGACATGGACATGAAGCCCTTCTTCAGGGCAGTGGGTCCAGAATTTCACAAGAACCTGGAGGTGGGGCCCTTCGAGACGGTGAACATCTACGCCTTGATGTGTCACATCCTGGGCATCAAGCCGGAGGTCAATGACGGCCACCTGAATGCCACCAAGCACATGCTGGTTAGCAACACTACTACTCAGGGTGAGTTTACATCAGACTAATGAGTCTCTCCCTGTGGCCGCAAAAGTGTGTCGCTCCAACACCTGCTCCTTCATTACTAGGCCATTCATCCATCATTTCCGACTTCACGTTATGTCCAAATTAGAGCCACTGTAGGTTAAAAGTAGAAAGTAGATCGAGGATTGCTTACGGTAACTTTGGAAATATTTTAAAAAAGGAGGTCTAAACTAAGGACAACAAGTGTCTGGTTTTAAATCAAATATAATGCTGGTGATTTTCTATATTTTTTACTTGCCACAACAAATGCTATGAAATGCCCAGAAATCAATTTGTGGGTTTAGCTCGCAATATTATCTACATTTCACAAATATGGTGAGCGAGTATGTGATTTTCTAAAACAGTGGTTTTCTGTATTTTTTAGCAAACGTTACTCAAGCTAAAATAAGGTGCATTTGTTGGAGACTATTTTTAGGAGATTAAGTGCTGTAGTATTTTGTAAGTAATACTATGGTCCCATACACTTAGAAAAACAATTCAATGTGATCTCTGTCATTTCAATTTCATCTGTTTCCAGGTGAAGACGTGGATGTCCTGAACAATATCTTCAATGGACTGGCAGCAGTAGCTGGATTTCTTGTTGTAGTTTTTATCATGGTGACATCCCATAAATTACTCAAGGATAAACGCAAGAATAAAAGGTAATGGTTGACAATGTTTAACTATTTTATTTATCATCCTTGTTTTTTCTCTGAATGGCTCAACAATATGGGTAAAACAATATTGTGTTTTGTTATTAGATATTAATAGTAATGTCACAATATCGCAATTGTAATCAAAATCAATTTATAATATTTTAAATAATTCCTCTGTAATGATTGCATCAGGCCAAAATCCTTAATATTTATCATATTAAAAAAATGTATTTTCATTTTGGTTTTGTTTATAAAATTGTCATCGATAACATAACTCCTTAAAACAACAACAATGATATTTATCTATCAGATTGTATTTATTTTTCTGTGTTTCAGGTCAGTAAGTTCAGATCAACTTCCGGCAAAATAAATTATATACCAGACTTCACTTTGAACGCCACAACAACAAATAAAAAACGAAACAAAAACATGCTGCTACAGTCTGTCATTGAGAAAACTGCTTGCTGGAAATCTCTTTCTGGGCAATTATTGTATTATCACATGTGAAGAAATGCACTCTGCACAAGGAACACAAGAGCAGAGTTTTGCATACCATTTTGTTAATATAATGTTTGTTCGAAAATGGAGAATGGTTAAAAAAATTAGTTGAATGTAATTGTATTAAATTAATAAAATAAGTATCTGCTAATTATTTGTTTATTGTCATTCTGTTTAATTGTTCGATGCACGGACTGTAATAAAATGTGCTCTTCTACGTATGGTTATGAAGTGTCTTACAATTGTGTAATACCGTTAGTTGCCTTGAATAAGAGCATTCCTTGCTGCTTAAACAAAGGCCGCCAATACAACAACTTCTGTTAAATGCTAATAATGTAGAAGATATTTAATAACTTTAAAACCACAAACAAGTTTAAAAAAAAGGCAGCATTAAAAGATAAGTACATTTCCGTTTAAAACTTAATTCGAAAAGAATGTTTTATACGATCGAAGCAATTATGATCACGTCTACTTTCACTTACATTCAGTGAATAAGTGTTTCGATCAGAGAACGGTGGCTGCCGGGGGACACATTTAAGCAAACACGTTCTAAGTTGCCCGCCTCTCTTCGAGTAACATGTGTCAAGCTATGCGCGGAAACAGATCACTTCCTGTTACGACTTTCAAAATAATATGATGTATGACATCTTTGGTGGGAGTTGTACTGTTTTTTTGTCTGCTTATAATTTGTATCAACATACTTCCAAGTGTTCACATTACAAAATTCACATCAGTTTAAATAACTTACTTGTCTAAACAATGGACATTGTTGAAGTTACCTGAGCTATTTCAAAAAATACCACTCATAATATTTTAAGCATCAGATACATTTACAATCATTATTTCAAATCAGAATTAGAAATCAGAAACTAAGTAATTTAACATATAAAGAATGTGCCTTGGTATTTTGAAACGGTCACAATAAACAAAGTCAGACTAAAGAGAACCTGTTTATAAATTAAAACAGAAAATTAGTTTCGGACCAGATACATTCTTATTTCCACACAACCAATGTTCTACCTATTGCCCTCATTCATCTGGTGAATGGATAACTTATAACAGTGCTTTTTAGCACTCAAATCAATGTAACACCTTAAGGTTGCATGAAATTGATTGTGTTCTTGGACTTTAATTGATTATCCTTTTTTAAAGCCTTTGCTTCTTATTGTGTTTTTAAGCTATACAATTATGTTTATTACTATATGTGTTTATATTTTGAATATGCTGATATGTGATACTGTTAATATTGCATTGTGTTGCACAGTATGTGTAGATAGACAGATATAAACGTCATTGATACCAAATGTGTAACTGATTTTGATACAGCAGTAGCAGTTATATTAAGTCCATGATTGGCATTCATTGTACTGGAGTAGAGAAACAGACAATATAAAGTACTACATTTGTAGTAATATCAACAGTAGAACGTTAAAAACTGTACATTTTTGTAAGTATACATGATATTTTTGGTGGCTTTATGCTATTTAATGAGTTTGATAAGGGGGAAAACACTTTCTTCACAGTAAGAGCTTTATTTTGAAGGCAATACTAAGCACATCCGGTCATGTCCGAGCGTCATTCGGTTCAGCTCCACGCGCCTCTTGTATCATAAAGGATTGTTACTCGGGGCGAAGGCAGACATGGAGGAGCTGAGCGCCGTGGGAGAGCAGGTCTTTGATGCGGAATGCATTTTAAACAAGCGGCTGAAAAAGGTCAGAGCTGTGAAACAATACAAAACTTTTAGTCGCGGTTATTCTTCTTCTGGCTGTTTACAAAACGTTCTTCCGCTCTTGGTTTTTCTTCCAGGGAAAGTTGGAGTATCTGGTGAAGTGGAGGGGATGGTCATCCAAGTAAGTACAAGTGGACCTGTGCTCAGCCCGAAACAATGAAAACAACAACAACGTGTCGCTTGTTGCTTCAAGTTAAATTCATCGCTTAACCGTTATTTATTATAAGCGAATTACCGAGTAATGATGACAACAACCATGCGATTTCCTCGCATTTGGTTTCCGAGGGCGGTTTTGGACAAATACAGCTCATACATTCTGCCTTTACATTTGCTTTCTTTTGTTCATAACACCTCCAATTTGGGAAGTTAGCGGACAACTACAGTAAATACGTTTACGGCTAAATCATTATTCCGGTTTTACACACTTCGGATTTAATCACATAATTGTAATAATTTTATATTTTTTCCATGACTTTAATTAAACAAGTTATTTGTGTGTGACTCGAAAACCAATCACTCTACTTTGCAATTACTATTTGATATATAATTTATAACCATGTTATAGATTTTTTGTTACATAAAACCACATGTTACTGTTATTTTTGGTAAGTTTTTATAATTCATTTATGTTGCTGCTTGTAACGCTCCACTCTGCCTTCATTTCTTGTCACTTGCCCTTTCTGTTCACTGCACATTGTTGCTGTAATCCACCATTAATGCACACTGTTGCCTGCCAGCTCCATAGCTTTCTGTTAGAACCACATCCTTTGTGTGTGTGTGTGTGTGTGTGTGTGTGTGTAATGGGTGGGGGTTGATTATTTCAGTGGTGACTGCTGATCAGAATACGCTATTCAACAACAAGTGATCAGGAGAAAGGTCATTACAAATGCATGTAGTTCAGATCAGCTCAAGAAAAAAACCCACGATCTGGTTTTTAGTGTGTTTCTGTAGCTAAGGGAGTATTTTTTCACACATTTTTGTACAAAAAAGGGAGCTGACTATTTGCTGATTATTATATCTACAACGAAACGAGAGTACAGTTTAAGAAAAAGTAACCCTCGATTAATTCAGTGCATATCACAATGTGCAGGTGCCACCATGAAAAACTAAGTTATTTCTGCTATGTGAAGTCATAACACTTCTTTGACCAAAAAGTGATCTTTCTTCCTGGTGTGTTTATGTTTTTCTTCAAAGAAGAGCAATCTGGTTTTCATCACTCAGAGTAAAAAGAACTCAAAACTGAATCTGATTTAGTAGCTGTGGGAGGCAAGTCCGCCTGTCACTGAAATAGCCAAACTTTCCCAGAAATTCCCCACATATTTCTGTTACAGTCCAATATTTCTTTTAGAATTGGCAAAATGATGGAAAAGCTAGTTACATTTTTACTTTTGAAGAGGAATTCAGAACTGAACCTCTTTTCGAACACCAAAGGGGCTAGCCAGGCGCGGTTTAAAATGGATGTGAATGTCAGATTGCCTATTTTTTTTTTAAAAGAGAAACGTTTTGGTTTTAGTCAACCTTTTCTGTCGATTACTCGTGTTTTGTAACATGTTTCCTAGAAACTCAAGGGCACATTTCTGGTAAATACAAAATGAACTGCAATTATTTTGCATAAATCAACTAAAGAAGAATGTGTTAGTTGAGCACAGCCTTCGGTAAACAGTCAGTTTACTGAAGCATAATAGATTTTTAGTGTTGCTCTGTCTTGAGCTAACTTGAATGGTCTATTTCAGCCTATACTAAAATAGCTTTTCTCTGCTACCATACTGGCTGCCTAAAGTCATCTCTAAGAGAGTAATGTTTTCTGAATGAACAAGGTCTTTATCTAAATGCGGGTTCCCTGCTGAGATTGACGGTCATTTTAATATAGCTGGATCACCATGGTTCTGTATCTTGACTAACACTGATCTGTAACACTCTTGTCAATTTATTACAGACACAACAGCTGGGAACCCCAGGAAAACATCCTTGACCCAAGACTGTTGGCGGCATTCAACAAGAAGTGAGTGTCCTTATCGAGTAATTAAAACACCAATGAGTGGTCTGTCTTTAAATATTAAAATCAGCTCTGTAACGCTCAAACGCGCATTAAAGCAACACCAAAGTCATTTGATGGCTGTACTGCTCACTGTACTGTAATCTTGAGACTTCAAGTTGTTGTAGCTTTCACAGTACATGACTGACTGTCAACACTTTTTCACACTACGAGATCTTTTGCCAGGAGGAATCCCTGTTGATACAGAAGACCCCTCTCCCCCAGGTTTCCCATGAGCCTGTGTCTTGTGCTCTCATTCACTGTACCTCTCTGACAGGTCTACATATTCACACAATCACTTAATGCTAGTTAATGTTGTCGTTGGCATGTTCATTTTTTGTAAAATAGCCCGTTTGCACATGTCTTTACCAGCTATTTATAGCCTCTAGGTGCACATCGCCAGTCCGTGTTGCAACACATGGCAGCACATACACATAAAAGTGACCCCTGCTCCAGTTTTCCCCTCCCCAAAAACTGTTGAATACATAATCATGGCTTGAGAATCCTTGTGACAGCACTTCAAATAAATTATTATGAATTGCTGTTTTTCGTTTTGCTCACCCACTCCATGTTTTAATCTAAGTTGAATCACAAAACCAGAAAGATTTGGAGAAACGGTATTAGTCAGTGAATAATGTTGTTGTTATTTACCCCACGGTCAAGCATTTGCTTATTTTTTGTTGTTGTTTTTTGGTTTTCTAGAGAGCAAGAAAAGGAACTTCTTATACTTAAGAAAGGGAAGAGGCCCAGGGGACGACCACGGAAAATTCTAGTAAGGACAAATCAGAGCAGAAGATTATGAATAATTTGTCGGATTAGTATATAGCAGCTCACGTTTGTTTTTTCGTTTAGGAAAATGTGCCTGAAGCAACAAAGTCAAGCAGCTCTTCATCAGGCTCATCATCATCGTCTTCTGATTCCTCATCCTCGTGCTCGTCCTCTTCATGCTCTTCAGAGGACGATGACGACGATAGCAATGTCACACCAGCAACCCCAAATGTGAGAACACGAGACCTTCACCCTGTCCCTCAGAAGAAGGCTCAGATCCTTGTCGCAAAACAGGAGCCCCCAAAGAAACGAAGCAGGAAACCTCCGTCCCCTGAAGTGAAGGAATTTCAGCAGAACAAGGGCCCTCGCAAAGTTCTGAAGGCTTCAAAAGATGCAGATCTTCCAGGAGCAATCAAGAAGCCTGTTCACCCAGCAAGCTTCACCTTCATGGGTTTTCATCGGGGTTCGCCAAGGGATACAGTAGGCAGTCAGAACAAGAGCTCTGTGACTCAGGGCGGGGCTGTAAAAAGCTCTGTGGGATCAGAGAGGTCAGTCCAACCCGCCTCCCTCTCCCTGAACAAATCGAGCCAGAGCAGGAATGTCACTGAGGGTAAACTGTCCATCTCCAGCGTGAGCTGCAGGACAAGTCTGGATTTGAAAGCAGCTGCTAGTAAATCAAAAGGGGTGGCAGCATTGAATTTGAATACATCCAAACACCTCATTCAAGGAACCACTCAGCATACACTAAGCTCCCCCAATGGACAAAAGAAAGCCCAGGCCCCTGCGTCAACACCGCAGCGGTTACCAAATTCTAAAGCTGTGGCTGCCTTACCTTCTAAAAATTCCTTGTCCAATCACGGTTCTGGCCCTCAGCCACTCAATCTTCAGAACAAACTTGTGAAAAGCAACGCTGTTCCTGGAAATGGTACTGCTCCAGTATCAGGCCTGAGAAATGCAACACTACCAGCACGGAAAATTACTGCCTTGCAGGATTATAATCCTCCAAAAAGCCCTGCTAACCCTGGAAGACTTCAGGCCAGAAAGAGCCAGTCTGGGGTAGACATGGTCAAGGAGGCGACTGAGATCCAGACCCCCAGAGTCCAGGGCAGGCTGGTGAAGGGCAGTGTGCAGAAATCCTCCACGGAAGTCCAGATTCAGCAAGACAGATTGGCCCCCAAAGACGGCAAAAAGGCCAAAATTAATGAGATGAGCACGGGTGAAGAGGAGAGCGGCTCGGACACGGACCAGGATTCTTCTTACGTTGGACAGGATGGCTCGGTAATGGTCCAGAACCAGGACTGGAAGCCCACCCGCAGTCTGATAGAACACGTGTTTGTAACAGATGTCACTGCTAATCTAGTTACCGTCACAGTCAAGGAGTCGCCAACCAGTGTGGGCTTCTTCAGCAACTACTAACGGTATTCCAGACACTTCAAACCAGATGGGCTTTGAAAGCAAACAGAGGTTTTGGGGTTCAGAAGGAATTTAAATAAACCTTTTGCGAATTCCTGAAGAATGCATCAGGGACCAGGAGTTCATTTGCGCTTTATCTTCTTTTAGTAAAAGACCAGTTTTTTAGGTTTAGAAAAAAAGAGAGATCCAAATGTGAGTTAACTATTGTTATTATTTATTTGTCTACAAATTGTTCAAGAAAAGACAGAGAGGACAGGAAAAGGTCCAAAGAGGTTGCAAAGAGTGACATTATGGTCTCGCTTGACAATAATGTTTTTTGGTTTCATTCATTCCAAAATTGGGCTACTACTTTGGTTTTGGATAGAAAATAATGTTAATGTCTTAAGTGTCAATATGGAACTCCGAAACACAGTGTAGGTTTTTGAATCTATGTGAAATATAAGCATTCATACATTTATCCATGGTAATAACTACTGTGTGTTAAGAAGAATGTCTAAATGAAGAAATAAGGAAAGCACATCCTCTTGTATGCTTAGCACACATTTAGTTCATAATGTGTCAATGGTGTAAACCCATATAAATAAGTAGCTAATGTAAAACCAGTTTCTAATTCTTAGTATAGTATAGTTTATTTGTATAACATTTCATAAGTTAGCTACCTCTTTATTTTTGACGTTTTGCTGCATATGTATATTCATTTCTCATGGGATAGGAAGTCCTTCCCCTGCAGGGTATACCATCATCGTGTCCATATAATTGGTTTATATAGTTTAAATGTGTCGGACACGTATGCTGTGTTTAACTTGGTTTAGTAGCAGCAGCCAGTTCAAGCGGCAGAAAACTGCTTCCTTTCTGTTTTGTGAAAAACTCCATCAGAACAGCCTCTGAGCGCCTTTTATTCCTCAGTGCAGCCAGTTTATCAGCACAGTTTTCCAAACGAGCTGAACCATGTGGGGAGTCAGATACATTATCTGTGTGTGTGTGTGTGTCCCGGTGTCTCAGATAAGACTGTGAGGTTTGCTCTTCTGTCTCTGCATCAGTACTGTCCTTCATTCACCGGCAACTCTAATCTTCTCAGACTTGTAATGAATATGGAGACAGCCCAGAGAATAAGTGCTTGTGTCGACATGGCAGGCTGATCATGGACAGTACACCTGACAATGCCTTTCGCTCACTCTGTCAGGGCTTCCCATGAGGCTTTGAAAACCACTGTGGGAAAAGAGGGGTGTGGACAATAAACCGTTCAGCTTTGTTTGTCGCTGACCACAAAATACCAGGTGTCATAGTGTCTGATGCCACTGGTGTTTTGAACATGTCGAGGACTGAAACACAACATTGGGTTGTCTTTCTTTTTCCTCGCAGCTGCAGACGTCTCATTTCACCCGCCTGCATGGGCTCAGGAGCTGCAGGCCCGGCCTCCCAGAAAAAAAAGAAGAAAAAGATCTCTATCTGATGTAACGGAAAAGAAACCACAACAATGTGCGCTACTTTCTGCTCCCCAGAGAGGAGTTCAGCAACAAAGCACTTCGACTGAACTCTTCTGTGTAATCCTGCTCTGCAGACTGTGCCTTTTTTTCTCTCTCCAAGACTAAACACAAAGGCATTACCCCAAAGATAGCTAACATTTCAGGTTGTTCAGTAAAAGGAGTATCCCTAGAGAACAGAGAGCGGACGGTTTTCATGTCCGTATAGTTTTGAAACAGAAAAAAGGAAGATATATCTAAAATATATAGAACAGACACATTTGATGCCTTATTGAAACATGAAGATATTAAAGTAGATTCTATTCAGGACCAGTTGAAAACAAAAATAAATTTCTTCAAATGTTCTCCGTTATATATTTCTTTCAAAGTCAAAGAATTTCATCAGACAGTAGGTTAAGTTTAGTTATTTATTACTTCCATGGCTATGGGGTAATGCACGGTGTTTATATGAAATGTTTTTTTATTCTTGCTTTTCTTAAATAATGAAAAGAACACATTCTGCATAATGTTTCCAGTTGTTGTCTTTTTATTTTATGTTTATTTTAGATCTACTAACCATCTCAATGGGACGTTGTTCTCCTTACAATCTATTTATTTCAAATCAAGAGCCTTTCAGGGTAGGACGGTGTCATCAATCCTTGTATTGTGTCACTTGTCAAATGTTACTAATAAAATGGTTCAGCCTAATGTCTGATATATGTGTTTTGATCATGCAAACATATTCTTAAATCATTCTTCGTAAACGTGAGTATTTGCTGCTTTTTTGCATTATATGACTGTTGACAAACTGGACTCATGATATTGGTAGTTTCTAACATTTTACAGACTTAATCGGTTGATAAACTAATAATTTAATTAGGTGGTGTTCAACCAAAATTACGCAAAATACAATAAAAAATAATAAGTTATGTTTGAAGTATTGACACAGGTAGGCTAACATTTACGGCCCCTACACACGGCGGGGTGCGTTGCCGCTTCAACGCTTCTGCCCATTCACTTTGAATGGGGTGACGTCACGATTCGCCAAACTGCATCGTGGGAGCAAAGTAGCTTCTCTCGCGGTGCTCGCTGCAAAAGTAGAGCACTGTTCTACTTTTGCCGCCTCGGCGGAGGCGTCAGCCAATCGAATCATGTGCCAGTGCAAGCTCTAGCCAATCAAACCGCGTGCGGGCGGGAGATTCATGTGATTGGTTGTTGGTCGAGTTTCAGAACCCCCGCCTGGAAGCGGCAACGCACGCCGCCGTGTGTAGGAGGGGGTCCACACGGCGGCATGCATTGAAGCTTCAACGCTTCTGCCCATTCACTTTGAATGGGGTGACGTCACGCTTCGCCGAACTGCATTGTGGTCGCTTCGCGTTGCTCGCTTCAAAAGTTGAGCAATGTTCAACTTTTGAAGCTTCGACGGAAGCGTCAACCAATCATACTCATATGCCAGTACAAGATCTAGCCAATCAAACCGCGTGCTTTTGTGTCCGGGGCGGGAGATTCATGTTGTTGTTGGGAGTTTCAGACACGACCACCGGCTAGCTTCAACGCACGCCGCCGTGTGGACGCTGCAGAGTTTGAGGTGCCCTTGATACTCAAAAACAAAAAAATTAGTATGCTAAGTATAATAATGACTATTAATTTCTAATTGAAAATGAAGGAAAGAAATCAAATATATTATGTGTATTAAAAAAGGTCCCAAATGTATTATTATACACACACCACATTGTATATCTCAGTTGTATATTTGTTGACCATATTATTAGAAAAAAGTTGTTACATTCTTAATATTTAGGGGTATTTCACATTTACTCCAATAAGAAATTCCACAAATCAACTGCTTAGACATATTTGTTATTTGCATTTCAATCTTTGAATGTAAACATGCAAATCTTGTAAAGAGTTTGATATTGTCAGTTATAGCAGGCCTACTTCCAGCATTTTAAGCAATAGACTGAGATGAGTCAGAATATGTTTGTCTTTTCAGAAGATGCCATGGACTTTTTGTGTGACTTAATTATTCTGTTGGATTTGATCTTTCATCCCCTCTGAAGCAGTGTGGTTTTAATTTCCAATGCTACTAAATGAGTCACATCCATTAGTGCAGAAACAAGATAACAGTCAATAAGACTTTCTTTCTCTTCCCTCCACTGCAACACATGGACAAATGAACTGCAACAGCCACTAGATGGTGCTGCTGTACTGAACGGCAAAGACACCAAAGAGCACTTCAGTTTCCTAATTAACCATAATTATATAATCTGTTGGTTTAAACACTCGAGATGAAATCAATTATGCCATTATGGTTCATTATCTCATTATATACAGCAAAAAAACAGTCCATTTTCTGATTTCTTGTATCCAGCTCCCAATACAGTTCCACAATAGTATTCTCTCTTCAGTATAATAATAGTGCAGCAGAATACACTGGTATTTCCTATTCAGAGAAAGACATTTTCTTTACTCAACAATGGTTTTGAGTGACTAGCATTTTTTATTGCAAGAGCTTTACTGACACAAGTGGCTGATTATTCGTTAAGCCAAAATACAGAAAAAGAATGGAGAATCTACAAGACTATAACCCAAATTAACTTTGACCTGTACAAATAAAAGTGAATAGTGAATAAGCAGCTTTTCTATACTTTGTATAATTCCATTTACAGAGTTTGTCCCTTCACAAAAAATATGATAATTGAAAATGAAACGATCGGCCTTGGAATTTACAAAACGGTATTTCATATACCGAATAGTTAATCAACTAATGCATCGTGTTTTACTAGCTGATTTTGCATATGTAAGAACTGAATCTGGAAAATAACTTAAACTTTCAGACAAATGCATTGGGATAGCAAGTACAATATTTCCCAAAATGGAAATGTAGTGTGGTGTAAAGCAGCATGAAATGGAGATACTCAACTTAAAGGAATTCTTTAGCCACCCAATGATCATTTTGTATATCAATTACTCACCTTGTGTTACCGTTAAACTTTCTTTTTTCATAATCAAAGCATAGGGAAAAGTCTTGATGAATTGAAGTAAATGGGGGCACGCCTTTAACAGAAGGAAAACTATATCATACTATACCCCTGTATTATACAAGTCTCATTTATCAAATCCGGCTTTCCCTAAAACCGTACCTTTTAAAACACTTACGCACCAAGTAAAGGAGATATGGGTAATGCAGCAAGAGTTGTGTGAGAGTTTGTAATACGCATGTTTTGATATACTATTGCTGTTATTATACTTGGCCACCATCACTTCAATCCATCAAGACTTTACTCGTTTTTTTGATTCCCCATCACCATTGAGGTATGCTAGAAAAACTGTGTTTTTTCCAAAAATTCAAGGTAAAATCTCAGTTTATAATCTCTCAGTAACAGCAGAGTATATATTTGTTTTTGACAGGACATAATTGTTTTCTTTACTGCAACCCTGACTCCAACCCCTAACCCTTTAAGTGCAAATATATCAAAATTGTACAGTACTTGAGTAGATATAACTAATAACATGACATTCCTCACTGGTTCTCAGCAGTGAGGGTAGTGGTGTAAGAAGCTCATTTTACAGTATTGTTATTGTTCTGTTGAAGAGACTAAATGAACAAGAACGTCTGCAGCACCTTTCAACACGCAGACACCCCTCTCCCTCCTTCACCACCCCTGTATTTACACACGCTTAAAAACACTGTCACACAGGCTGACTAACTGACAAAAGTTATCATTACACAAAGCGCTCGATTCCATAATTTATAGAGATCCCCGTCCCAGTCATGTGGAATTCTCCCAAAATAAATTCAAGTAAACACTTACACGACAAAGAGGCACTCACAGTGGCCTGGTATGCATAAACAGTATGAACAGTGTGACAGTGTAATCCCCCCCACCCAACGCACACACACACACACACACACACACACACACACACACACACACACACACACACACACACACACACACACACACACACACACACACACACACACACACACACACACGACACACTACTCTCTCTCTCTCTCTCTCACACACACACACACACACACACACACACACACACACACACACACACACACACACACACACACACACACACACACACACACACACACACACACACCAGCCCAGCACTGACTTCAGCCTGGGGTTGGAAATGAGCCTAAACCCCCTCCTCACCCCCAGCGCCGATGCACCAACCCCGATCCCCGGCACCCCCCCACACCCACACCTGACTCCTGGCAAAATAAGCCAGACTCCAATCCATCTTCAATCGCAATAACACACACCCCAAACCATGTTGTTTTGAAGAGCATTCAGCAAGTTCATCTCTGGGGATGTTTTTGTTTTCTCCCCTGGACGTCTTATTGTTTTAGCAACACAAGATGTCGTAAATCAATCAGCTCTTTGCTTAACTCCGGCCTTTGTTTAAACGCCAAAAATAAGCTTTTTCCATGAGGCAGTGTTGAAAGTAAGCAATTGATATGAAGGGTGAAACCAGAGGGGTGGTTGGGAACTTATTTTTTCACCTACCTTTTTATTTGCAGAAAAGATTTGCAGGGTAAGAATAATACTACAAAATATAGAAAATGGTCAGAAAATGTATTCTATTCAGAAAAGTACACAGTAGGGCTTCTAATAACAGTTATATTGTGTCCTTTATGGCTTTATGAGACTCCATAACAACACCAAACACACTTTTTTATTTTCCACTGCTATTATTCTCCAGGCTCCAGGCTGGATGTTGACTATTATGGGTATTTAAAGACGAAAACTGATATTGATATTTAATTTTCTCTGTTTGTGTTTGTGTTTGGCCTCCTCTCTACCTTGAGGATTGTAACCAAACGGGGCTGGTGGAGTTTAAAAAACGCCTGGGATGGTTGCTATTCGATTTCAAAGGGAATGTTTAGAAACCTGATCCGACCCTCCAGCGAGCATACCTTCTACACCCACGTCTCCCTCGCCCCTCATTCTAAATCACTCCACTAGAGCAGTGTAAACAAACTTCAGTTTGCTCTCTGATATTGAGAGGTTAAGACAAGCGGCAATCCTCCACTATGACAACACGGCCTCAGACAGACGATG